CCCGTGAGGGAAATAGCTGTTTTCTCCCGTGTGGTATCGGCTGCAAGCGGGTGGTTTGGCATGTCTGGCACGGTGGAGAAGGGTTCTAGCAAGTCGTCAATCACCAAGGAGATGTTGGGATATAAAATCGTAATGTTTTCTGACTGACTGGGCTCGTATGACAGTCAGCACTTGGGACGAAAGACTGCCAGACAACTCGGCTGGTCGATCAGAAAACGGTACGATCTTCCACCCCAAGATCTGCTTGGAGATCTAGATTAGCAATCAGGGATTAATGTTCGAAATGATCGGACTTAGTAACGATTATATTCTTAATCTTAAATTTTTTCTCCCAAACATCTACAATGTTATAAGGTTTCCCTTGAATATTGTTGAAACATATTTTACGATATATAACCAGAGTTAGCCCGATAGATGTGGTACCTGTAAGTCTGTACTAACGACTAGCTGTGCACCAGAGCTTCCACCTGCTCGGCATACCGACTCGCCCACTCTCACCAGCAAGTGTCTGTACATGATTGACTGGGGCAGTCCCTGGGGGGCCTCTAGTCCAACATCGCTCACCTTCACTCATCGCCGCACTTCACTCAGCCTCACCCACTCACACGCCGGGGATTCTACAATTAACCCGCCTTTAATTAATCCTCCGTGTTAGAAATACCATCGGAGCCGCGGGAGAGGGAGGTCGGAAGCCGGGGTGGAAGGTCGGCCCCGGTAGGTGTGTGAGAACTATGTGAACTTGGCCCCACCCCGGCGGGGAGACGTTCGGAGGTTACGGGGGTGGGGGGTCCCGGGGACTCCTGGTGTCTGGCCCCCTCACGGATGTGGTAGGATAGATGCCTCTCTACCCGGCCACACCCCCAACCAGTCCCAAGGTGTGCCCCGTTCCATCTCCGGTTGTTTTGCCGTCATTACCACCACAACGCTTCTTAGAATCTTACTTTTGCCGCCGGTGTGCAGCCAAATTTCTACCCCTGAGAAATACATGTATATGCCCCGAAAATACTGATGGATTTCCAATATTCCTGAGAGAAAGGGTGGGAGAGGATTTCCCGTAATGCGGAGACTGAACCTAACCCTAATCCCATTCCCAAGTCTAACCCTAGACCGAGCAATGATGTCAACGCCAACTACCGGTATTCTAACCCTATAAGCCTAGCCCTAAATTCCAGGAACGCGCACTACCCCGACAAGCAGAAATGTGGCGTTTGCCGTCATACCGGATGTACCCAGTACCGCTGGTTGTATGAAAAGAAACTTTTGGATCTTTAGAAAGGTCGAACTAACCTCCCCCCTTCTCTCGGCAGGAACGCTCCAGGCGGAGGCAGTGGAAGAAGGGCGAGGCGACACGGCGCAGGTGGACAGCCCAGAGAAGAAGGATCCCCACCTGCTAGTCTTCACCAAGCGGCCGCCGCCAGAGACGCACAGCAGGAGAAAAAGGAGTCTGGACAGCAGCTACTGTTTCAAGTAAGGAATATGCACATCTTTTGTTAGTTTCTCTCAAATGCATATCTCAGGTATCTATTGAGTTGCTATCTATCGTGTGGTCCATTAGGCCCAATTTCCAATAGATGGAGACCGCTGAGCGACCAAGATTGAAATACATATAGGATGACCTATAAATTTTGTAATTTAAAAGGGCCCATGATGTAAAAGTATGATATGAAAGACAGTGAATCAAACAAATGCACTTCTTTTTAGATAAAATACTTTGAACTGGTATTTGGTCGCTCACTGGTTGCCAGTTCAATGGAAAAGAGGTAGTAACTTATTACAGGGAGAAGTTTCGTATTAAAACTATGAACTTAACGTTTATACCTAATTGTGAGCCTGGTTCGTTCGTCCCCCAGGAAGCCGAAGGAGCCGAACTGCTGCCTGCGGGAGCTGTACATCGACTTCCAGCGGGACCTGGGCTGGAAGTGGATCCACGCGCCCCGGGGATACAACGCCAACTTCTGCGCAGGCAGCTGCCCTTACCTGTGGAGCACAGATTCACAGGTAACAGTAAGTAACCGTTTCATGTCACATTCCCTACTTAACAATAACAACATTAACGACACCACCACGTGTCCGTAACAAACGTCGTTCCACCGGCTGGTCTGATGCCCGGTCTACCGCCGACCTTACTAAGTACGTGTACCTGGTGTTGTGACTAAGGATCCCCAGCGTCTGAAGAGAATCCGAACATATAACCATTGACCTCGCCAGCCATGGCGCCATCAACCCTACCCCGTAACGACATGAGTCACATGACAGTACGTTCTGTTGTGCGCGTCTACCCCGTGGTCCGTCTACCGTCCTCATTGATGGCTGTGTCGTATGTAAGGTGACAAGACACACTCACTCAGCAAACGATAGACAGTACTCTGTCAGTACACTAGTTAAATTTTCAACTTTTACACGTTGACTTGTGTACAATGATATTTTACCACGACTTAAGATCGCATTGAAAAAATGCTGTTTCTTTTTAAGAGTTACTGTTCCCGCATGGTCACATTCGTTACAAATTGCACGATCTTCCTTCGATCGGAGAAACCTTGTGATATAGTCCTGCATGTGTTGTTTCATAATCAGCTGTCTTGTTCCTTGTCGGTGGTTTGGTCTGTCACAACCTGCTTGAAAATCCTACAACGTAAAATTCGAATGACGAGCTGCAGCGAATATTTGTACATACATCTGTACATAGTTGTATATACACACGAGTGGGCGTGACGGATGCCACAAAGTAGTGTTCCCACCAGGATAACTTATCAAACTTCCTCCCTGCAGCACTCCACCATTATCGGGCTGTACAGCACGCTGAACCCGCACGCCTCGGCCTCGCCGTGCTGCGTGCCGTCCGAGCTCGAGCCGCTCACCATCCTGTACTACCAGGGCAGGAAGCCTAGGATAGAGCAGCTCTCCAGCATGGTGGTCACCTCCTGCAAGTGTAGCTAAACCCCCAACCTGAGGGTGCACCTATCAATGTCCAGCCGGAGGGGGGGGGGTGCGAAACGGTCTCCAGTCTACGTGTAGAGTGGCCAAGAAAACATCTGATCATGCCTGCCAGTTATGACTGTTTAAGTTGTTTTAATTGGAAGTCGTCATGGATTCCTGATGTTTGGTCTCCTTCAATGACAGCCAGAGGACTGATTTACCATGTTGTAAAACTGTGAAGAGGAAGTATTGACAAGACAAATGAGCTTCTTGCAATATGAAGTTTCTTGAGCCCTGCCCTCCTCTCCTGGCTACTGATAGGTGTATCCCATTGGCCTGTGACATATCATCACTGTCAGTGGATTGACAGCTACCAATCATGAGGTCATATCACCAGACTCATACAAAACCAACAACACTTTCTACATGCATAGCAAACTGAGTTAAGTTAGTAAAAAATGAACGACAGCATACAGCTAGAACAGTACTTATTGCCTGGACTATAGTAGTTTCATACAACATAGACAAAGCAACACATATTAAAGGTATTTCTTTGCTGCTCTGTATTTATTAATTAAAGGTCTCCTATGATGAGCACAACTCCCATATGCTTGCATAGCTGCACTCCGATCGAGTGATAGAATGCCGAAAAAATGTATATACAGCTGTGTCTTTGTTAAACCTATTTCCAACAAGACTATTGTACATCTCGCTTGTACAAAACTTTTTTCTCAATTTTGTAAACCCTGAATAGTATGTACATATCAAATTCTATTATGATTTTTAAAAAATTGGAAAAAATCATTGCAGCAAATTGGGTAATTAAAATCAAATTCACCCACACGTCATGTAATGTGAAACTATGACAAAAACAAGCTACAAGAAGCACCCCTTAAATGTAGATACTAAGTAGTTGATTCCAAGTGACTTTGTATCAAAAGCTACTCCCTGTACATTGTAGTAATTATAATAGTATACATAGATTACATACATACATTGATACATTTTAAAAACTTTTTGAATAAAACCATGTAAGCTGATAAGAGTTGGTTTCTGCATTCTTTGGTGTGATGACAGAGAATGGACGGAAGGTACACAAGTAAGAAGACGGTAGTCAGCAACATAACCTAGCTAACAGTCAACCTAACAGGCTTGAAGTAGACACACAACAGCTTCTTGTGTATTGAGAGAGTTACAATCAGCAGATAGTCTATTACTTACAAAGGAATGTTGAACATCTTGAGGTAAAGTCTCTTTCATTCTTCCTCTCCAGCCTTATTCTGTCTATCAAACTGAGTCTGAACTCTCAATGTAATGTAGAACACTATAAACTACCTATGAATGTCACTCTTTAAAATAATACAAACTATGTACTAAAAATGCCAACATCCTTGTTTCAAGCAGTGTGGCAAACTTCCTTTGACAACATTGTATTCGTGAAGCAAACCAAATTGTACCCATACTGCCAGGAGCTGGCCATTCTCTGTGCAAGCACTAGTACTCAATCTCCAAGCAGATGTAGGGTCCTGCTCAGAGGCTTTACATGACATATTTCTAGTGGACTATCTTTTTCTCTCTCCCCCTTCCCAAGCCCAACATCTGTTTGAAGATTAATATTGCTTTCTGTGGTGCAAACGTATATGAGTAATTAGCCTTCAACTATGCATAGAAGAGTGTGTGCTTATGTGTAACTACATTCAGTTTCCCTAAATATACAGGACTGCTTTGCTACTGGTAGGCAGAGTTACTGGGCATATATTAGGAACAGCTAAGTCCTTTCTAAGGCACAGAAAGGTCTCACACCTACTGTTGGGGTCAACTCTTGAATCAGCACTATGTCCTTTTTTTCTGCTTGAGAATAGACAGATTAGTCATACATGTACTTGGAGAATACCTGATGCATCCTGGACAGAAAGGTGTGTTCTGGGGGGAAAGCATTTGACTCATAATGGATAAAGCTTTTGAGATGACTTCAAAGTGAGGTCTTAGTCTTGTTAGATGCAGGACAGCTTCATCCTTCCAGTATGCTACACCAGAGGCCAGACAGAAGTCCTCAAATCCAACATCAAGAGCCTGAGTTTCCTTGATTGTATGGTGTTGGAGACTGAAGTAGTTGTGCCCAACAAAGGCAGGCCAGCTGGGGGCAGCCTTTCACGTGTTGCACTGGTGAAAATGCTGGGCAGATCTGTGTTCAGTGTCTTGTCTCCAGTCCAGTGTTCAGTGTCTTGTCACGGTGGGCTGGAAGCTTCCTGGGAACAAGAACAAGAGCAGGTGAACATCAGCTGGTAAAGTCTCAGTGGAGAAGACACACAAAGGAACCACTGTTCGTCTCTAACAGCTCAAACAACATGGACATTAGCCCGGCCATGCTGGTCATGACACTACCTAACCAACCAACCACAGAGACTACAGACATTATTTCTCCCTCTGCTAAAACTCTAGGTACAGAATAACGTACAAGGATACTAACAATTTTGATCAGTGAGATGAAAATGGTCATCATACACCCATTCTCAAATCTTTAAAATGTTGTAGGGATGTTTTAAATCTGCAGGACACACCCATGCATCATGGACCAAGGCAAAATAAACAGGTACCGTAAACTTGGACTGTAGTGTAAAAGGAAGGCAGTGTGAACCAGTCAGGTGGGTCCATGAAGCGAGGGTCTCATAGCCTGGGAGTTGTTTCTGCAATCCTCATCAATGTATATACTATCTTACAACATCCCAGGCATAAATCTACAGGCAATTATATATGCTCAGCAGGACTACATTTTATATATGTCACGTACCTGAGGCGTATGCAGACTTGGTGACACCTGTAGCTGTGTCGTATTTCACACTACTGTAGAAGTTACCTGGATCATCCAACATCATCGTCCTGTAACACACACAAAG